TGTCCCCCAGGAAGAATGCTGGAGCTATGCTGTTCACATGCTAGGAATAGTATCACTGTGGGAACTGAGTGTTTTCAAAACTGAAGCACCCTGCAGTGAGATATATGGAATGGATGGTCAGTGGGCTCTGAGCAGGGCTTTGTGAGCAGAGGGGTAGGTAACAGTCTTGAAATAAAAAAGGAAAAAAAACACTGAAAACTTTCCACTGTTGTTGAGTCTGGCTGAGCTCCATCAGCTTGCAACACTGAGCTATTATATAAGATGAATCACTGAATGCCCTGGGCAATTTGAAATCCTTATTGATGAGACCTGTGTAGAGCAAAGCTAGAAGCCCTGGTGTTGGAGATGTCTGCAACCTGAGAGACGCGTACAGTCAAGGAAAGAGGTGTAATCTCCACACTGTATGCTCTCACCCAAATTGCATACTCATAGTCCCTTCTGCCCATATCATTCCACAACTGAGCATCCTCTGCAAATACTGTGCTGTCACCTCCCTTCTTTCTGAAAATCACAAATACCTTTCTGTATGAATGCCAGTTTTTACCAGATTCTGTAACACTTTGGCACTGCTGCTTTAGTCTCCCAAAGAGCAGTAGTGCTGTGACTGGCATATACATATTTGTACATAGATGGATAGCTGCAGAACAAGGAACAGCAGCATCAATTAAGACTTCCACTGGCAGCAGTTAAAATCACAGTTCTGTTCCCAACCTGACTGTTAAACATAGTTCCAGCAAGTTCTCATTCTCTTTTGGCGTTAGCCTCTTTCAGAAGCCACACTACATGTGCTTAGCTGGACAAACAGCTCCTTGGTGTCTTCATCTTCCTAAACTTGAGACTTGGAAATCCATGACGTGGCCAGATTTCCTGGTTGCTTTTACTTTGACAGTATACATTTATACAGATGATTTATCTACCTGGTTTAAATACTCCTTCTTAGGATTGCTGTACATAACTCTTCTGGGTCCTTAAAACCTAAGAAGAGGTTTTTTGTTTCAGCTGAACTTTTTAAAATCATCTAAAGTTACCATTCTTAGAAGCAATCCCAATGAACTTAATTATCTTCTCTGAGTTATAATAAATTTAGCTTGTTCTTGTGCAGGTTTTACGTTACATTCTTGTTAACAGAAGCATTCAGTAATAAAAACATTCGTTCTTCAGTTGGCCTACTGTGCTTTATGGGGTTTTGATCCATAAAGCTAATTCACTCCATGTAATTTATTTTGCCAAAAGATGTCTTCTTCAATCACCAATGTTACATCATCTGTTACCTATCAGCTTTTTGATAAATGTGTACTTAAGGGCCATGACCTATCTTTAGGAGCAGTGCAATGACTCGTACACTTACAACCTCCCTTGTGAAAGTAGTCACATTAGTATAAACAGGAACTCTGCTTGAAAAGGAACTGAACAAGCTAAGTGAAGAGTCTAGTGGGATGATTTGTATGCATTGGGTCCTACGTGTGCATCCATTCCATCTGGATCACTGGAATTTAGGACATTGTCTCAATCACTTTTGAATGACGAAGAGCTGGAAACGTGCTCCTCTGCATGTCCTTATACTAACAGGCAGATACGTGTCTGCCATTTGTGAGTGTCTCTGGAAATATTTGCAGCATGACATAACTGTTTAAAGTTGGGGTGCTGCAAATCAACTGTTGCCAGTATATCACTGTTGTGGTTTAAGCCCAGCTGTCAACTAAGTACCAGTGCATTTTTGTCTTTGACACATCAGGTTTTAGACTTGGTACTGAAGACATGGAACAACTTTGCTCATAGGAGAAGCTTTGCTGTTTATGTGAGTCAGTTATTTCAGTGACTGTTCTCAAGATCCCAAGATCAAGCCATAGATTTTTCAGACCCAGATGGGAATGAAACTGTTCTTCTCCAGTGAATCTAGTATGCTGTCCTCCCCTGAAACATATTACAATACAGCATATCATAGTGCATCATCCTAAAGTGGGAATGGACTATAGGTCTCAAAATTTTGCCTGAGACTTATGTCTGGAAATTAATACCTTGACCACTAAATCTTTCTAAGTTTCTGTTTCTATGGTGTAAATCAAATCTTACTTCTCATTCTTAACCCCTGGCATTTGTTGTGAGGCAGGTTCTATACAGAGCAAGGTTGTACAAGTTAGCAGGCACTTGGGTACAAGTTCTGTCAAGGCTGCTGTGAGGCTATGCCCTTGCTGGTTATTCTAAATCTGTTCCATACTGTCAAGCTCTTCTTCCTGGCATTACTCTAGCTAGAGTTCACTGTGATGACACTGTGTAAGCACATTGCACTAGACAACTCCCGCCCAGAGAGAAACAAAAAAAAACCCCCAACCAACGTCCAAACCCACACAAGGTTTTAAAGTGTACAATTTGCTAATGCTGTCAGAAAAAGCACAAGGACAAGATTTCTAAGGCAATGAGCTGGAGTTTTACTTAGACACACTTAGCAACAGTGATAGAAAAGTTTGCTCATTGTCTGATGTTCCGCTTCTGAAGCAAAGCTAGTAATACTTTTGTACGTCATCTGTAACTCTGAAGAGAGGGATGGTCCCAAGGATAAAATCCCAGACTGGCAAAATTTCCATTGCACATTTTGCTGTGGGTAAATTCTATATAGTTGCACACAAGCTCCTACCATTACATGTAGGCCTCTCGATAGCAATTTTAACAATGCCTGGCAGTATGAAGATGAAACAAATAAACAAAACAACACCTGGAAAGTAATGTATTGCTAGAACACAGACCACCAGCTTGGAGACCACTTCATTATCCCAGTGCAGTTCCCATTGTGCAAAAGGATTTTCAAGGAAAGCTCTGTGCAGCCTTTGCAAACTTCATCATTTTAGAAATTACACTTGTGTCTGAGTGCTTTGCACATGAAAGAAAGAGTGAAACAAAATCTCGGACTTTTTGCTTACCTGGTACATTATTTGCTCTTTTTCCTGCATTTTCTGTTGGGCAATCAGTTTCTTGGGAAGTTGGGTGGCTTTTTCAAGACACGGTATCATGTGTTGCTATTTATAACTCCTCAGGGTTGTGAAAGCAGAGGATTTATCAGAGAACACAGAAGCTGATGCAAACTATTTGCAGATCATAGCATTGGGTAAAGGGACAGTGGAAATGCCTTCTTTCTGCTGCAATGTTTAGATTTTCAGACCTGCAGAGGACACGGAGCATTGTGAAGGGAGACAGTAAGAGCGCAAAATGGAAAGAGCTATACATGCAACGCACAGTATGAATCACATTATCTATTAAAAATCGTGGCATCTATAAATAGATCAGATCTTGAAGCTGAGGTGAACAGCTACCAACGACTGTCATATGGGCATGGATCAGATGTTAACAGCTAGAGAGAACTCAGATCTGTTTAGCTGTGGTTTGGCTGTTTGTCCTGCAGCAGGGAGAGGCAATGGGTGACCTCCTGAGGTCCTTTCCTGCCTTTATTTCTGTGATTCCAAAAGCTACATGTACAGTCCATGCTGAACTCAAAAAGCCATCAGGAGAAAGATAATGGCTGTGACAAGACCATTCATATCTCACATACTTGTTTTTGTTAGTGTAACTACAGCAAAGCTAAAATAAAGTCAATGATGCAGAGCACTATTTGAAAGAAAATCTGTCTCAATTATTTCCTGTATTAGCGAATGATAATGGAGTAAACATGGAAATGGACGCACTTACATAAAGGAGTGAAAATAGAAAGATATGTCAATGGAATACTGCCATTTTGTCAGTTTAGCTACTTACTACATCAATATGAACACGAACTATAAAAGCAACACTACTAATCCTTCACTGCTTGAGTTCTCAGGCTCTACAAAATAAACTTGTCATGGGGCAGTTATTACCTATTACTGCTTAATTGTGGAAAACAGGAGTCATATTGGACTAAAATGTGAGTAGAAGCAATGCCTACTGTAATGTCCACACAAGTAATGGTGTATGACATAACAAGCATTTCTCTTCATTCGGTAACCTTTATGAGTCAATAAACACAAAGATGACTGGTACCTAATGCTGTGCTCCATAGCATACTGAAAGTGGACAACAGAGAACATATGCCTGCAAAATAAGGTGTCTCATGATATAAGGCACACTTCTGATGCTGAAGAGGGCTTGACTTGACTAGTACCTGAGTGGAAAATCCATTAAAGCTCCTGCATATAGGAATATTTGACTGATCTGAATGACACTCCAAAGTGCACTGGTTGAGCATTTTTTATCTTCCTGCATGATATCCTACTCAGAATGAAAGCAGATTAATATAATTTCTTCTCTTAGGGCTAGATTTAAGCAGGGATTTAGGAGTGTATACCTGCTAAATGGGGATTTCTTTCATTCGAAACTTAAGACTGAGAAGATTTGGACTTCTTATAATTTGTATTTGTTCAGGCTAAATTCCAAGTAGCAGTAAGAATGAACTTAAGGAAGAGGAGAAAGGGACTTGGAAGATGTTAAGGATGTCCACTTATGAAGACTGTAGATATTCTGAACTTCATACTCTGCTTAAACATAGCTTTCCTTTGTCACCTTGACACATAAGAGTTTCAATCTCCTTTCCTTGGAGTTTAAAGGAAAGAGAAGGATTGGTGACTAAGGATTGCAGAATAATTGTATGTTCCAGAGAGCACTCCTAGGAAGGCATCTTCAAGAATGTCAGATTTCCAGAGGCTCTGTTGGGGAAAAAATAAGAAACTGAGAGAGCTGAGAGGCTGGGCTGTGCAAGAGACGGTAGTGCAGATATCACAGTGAAAGTGGAGAGAAAAGAATTACTAATGGAGCAGTTTGGCTAGATAAGAATGTGGACAATATTAGGGATAGAAGTTGACAGGTGGCTGCTTGAGGGCCTAAATGATATTAGAGTTCTTCAGTGGGTGTACTGAATCTGTCTCTTCCTCTGCCTTTTGTAGCTGTGGAACTAATTTTACAGATTAAATAAAGTACTTTGTCGACTCGGTGTGTCTGGCACTGAATTTTTAAATCCATCCTTTCTATTTCAGTCAGGCATGTCTGGGTGAACAACCTCTATAACTAAAGGAAGTGACATAAATAATTCTTCCTTGAAATAAGGTCAACATTATCCTCATGTGACTTGAGATGTGTGAGAAAAACAAAGACCTACATCAACCAGGTGCTATTAGCAACACTGGGTGCAGACACATTTTGTCCTATGTCTCAGCTAATAATTAAAGAGTCATTATGAATACCTCAGTTTTCACAAGAACAACAGTATTCCTCATAGAAATGTATTCCAGCATCAAACTCACCTTGGGGTGAATGAAATTTTGTCAATACAAAGCAAGTTTTGTGTTATGCCTAAAGCTCTGCATTCAAATTACACGTTTATTGAAAAAGTTGCTAGTATTCATATTCTGCTTGGTCTCTGTCATCATAAAGCCTGAACTTTTTTTGTCACATTAAAATGCAGTTTATGGAATTTTTGTTTGCTTGTTTTCTGCTCCTTTATGTACTTCTGACTTCCCATATCAGTAGATAACATAACTGATTTAAACTGCTATTGTCAGCTACCTTTACTATACATACAATATTTTAAATGTAAAAAAGTGGTAATAGTTGGTGCAGCCTGCTGCTGGTTTTGGATAGCATCAGAAAGGTTTGTTTTGCATTTTGTATGCAATCTAAATCTACCTTAATTTAGTGTGGGAAGCTTATTTTGTCCTAACCACAAAAAAAAATTGGACAATTCTGTAGATTACTTTTTTTCTACAGAATGATGGAATAGCACCAGTGACCATAAAATAGCAAAATGCTGTATGTCTTGCTAGTAGAAAATGACAGTGTCTTTAGCAAAATGAACTAACTTAGATTATTCTTTGATTGTTAAAAGTATGCTGCATTGAACAGTAGGTAATCTCTTTAGAAATGCTGAAGTTCCCAGTTTCACTGCGATGTTATACTTCTGCTTATCCATTCACATTCTGCACCATGTCTTATCTTAGACTACTTAGTAAAAGGAATGGTAAGGCAGGTGTATTACATTGGAAGACCTACATTATTTTCTCCTCATTTGCCCTAACTGTAACCATTCTCAGCATAAATTAAACAGCATAGGTAGGAAAACTTGTCTTTCTCATATATACTGATTTTTCAGTTCTACGTATAATATTAAATCCATGTACAACTTTTACAAACATACAACCAGTTTAAAAAAAACAACAACATAGGACTTTAAAAATAGCTTGTGAAAAGCTTATCATTTACTCTTGAATTATTGCGAAAATTCTCTCTCCTGTTCAGTCCCTTTTGTTTAGCAAGGATAAATTTTTTATCAACTGATGTTTTGCTTCAACTCTTTCAAAACCTGCAGTTATTAATGGCATCTCTTGACCCTAGCTGAGCGCTCACTGCAGGACTCCAGGTATGGGAGGAAATCCCATCTCTCTTTACTGCCTAGTCCAGATGGATGCTGAGTTGATCTGAATCCCAGCCCTGGGACCTGTAGAGGATGCCCTCAACTGCAGGGGCTATGGCAGAAGCAGGTGTGTAAGGAGCACACTTTCTATTGTCCAAAATAATGTTGCAAAACAAAAATCACAAGTAACCTATGGGAATCACAAAGTCTGCCTGAATTTTCATATTACAAAATATTTAGGACATGCACCTTTGAAAGTCCTGTGAACAGATTGATGCTGGTTGTGAGCAGCAGCAGGAGGCCAGATGCTGTGTGCACTGGAGCCTTGAGCTGCAATTATCTCAAACCAGAGGATGCAGTCACTCCCTCCCTCCTCCTTTAAGGAGCTGGGGTAAAGCAAGAAGGCAAGATCTGCATTAATCGCAGTGGCTTCCATATTTAAATGGCTTGGCTGACACTGTTGAATTTTTTGTGCAGAAGAGACTATTGCCAGGTAACAGCCAGGAAAAGGGAAGAGGATGCATGGGCAGGAATCTCTCTGGAATTCGGAGGACACAATGCTATTTTTGAAAGTGCTACCCCCTTGCACCAATGCTCATTAGCATATGTAAAGGTTATGCTGAGTGTATATAAGGCATTGCTAGAGAGATCAAAACCAGTATTCTGTACTACCGGTTTAGTGAACCTTTTCGGATTGCCCAAGAGAAGACACCTAAAATATCAGGCAAAAGTGTGGTGCTGCTGTATTATGTGAACCACTTTCTATAACTCCAGATTACCTTCACATCATCATATTTGACCACTCTGGTGAGTTTACCAATGTTACATAAAAGACAGCAGATGGAGGTATGGGTTTCTATCTTTTGCTGATTTTACAATATTTGTTGATAAACTGTTTTCATTACTGCAATCTGGCACAGGCTCCAGAAGACTCTATTTGAGAAATCTTTTGTCTTTATTATTAATTTAACTGTCTTTTACCCTGGTTGCATAAATGCAGCTAAAAATAATTAATGTTCTTTTCCTGTGATGGTCAGCTATTACCAGTGAGGAATGACTTTTTGGTTTTTTTTGGTAAGTCTAGCAGTTTGCACAGCTCCGGTTTTACTTCACAGTCTTTCTAAGCATAGCTGTAGCCATTAACAGCAGATTACAGCTCTTGTATTCTAAAGGCACAAAATTCTGGCCAAACTCTTCAGTCACGTCAGTGATGTGGGAATATGACCAAAAGGCAATTTCTTACCCATTGAAAATGGGTCAGGAGATTTAAAAGGGTTGAACATAGGCAGAGAGCCATTAACACTGGTTAGAAAGTAAATTCTAGATATAACAATTTATGAAACTGAATTAAAGTGGGACATATTTTATGGAACTACAGTGATCTAGATCCTTTGCACCTTTCGATTTAAATAAGCCAGTTTACATAATCTGGCTCCTTTGAAGATGTGGGAATTAAATTTACGAGTAAGCTCTGTTTTTCTAAAGAATTCAGTGAATGTGCTTTTCCTTAAAGTCAGTGGTCCTTTTAACGCTGCTCCTTCTTCTGGTGACAGATAATGTTTTAGTGATTGGAGAATTAGAAATGAAAAACTAAGTTAATGCCTTTTCTTTACCCATGTTACTGCTCTTCTAAACAAAGTGTTCTACCTCCAAAGGTCCAATGCAGGGCAGTCAGAAATGGAGCTTCCACACCCTGACTGTATTTAGACTGGTTTTCCAGAAAAGGATCTGAGTTTGATCTCTGAATTTAACCTCACATCTAAACAATACAGCATACTGAAGCCATTAGCTCTTCAGTGCTAAACTTAGCGATGAGGAATTCCCTAGATGATTTTTGCATTCCATGGCTACTACCACACAAGATTCACGGGGATGTGAGGAATATTCAAGATGCTTAACAAACATAGATATACATATAAATTACATTATTCCCCACACTGCCTGGTGAACTAACATTCTTTTCTAACATCGCTAACTAGGTCCTCAAAAATTCTGTGCTGTCACAGATGTTTCTGCAGAGGAAACCACACTGGCAAGCAAGAAGGAAACAGTAACAGCACTTTTGTTCATTTCACAGAATAGAAGGCTTAACCCATTTAGTGTTAGAACAGGGTCTGTTGTTTTACATTGTGTTTTCATCCATTTCAAGGCGTTCGTACTTTTCCCCTAGAAACTTTTGGCAGAGACTGGCTGGACATTTCATATAGGCTCCATTTCATTCTGTTCCCAGGGCCAAATGCCACCATATCAAAAGGTAGATCTTTGATTGGAGGAAGGACCCCAGATCACAGGTTCTTTGGAGTGATCTGGCTTCAGACCCTACTGATAAAACCCAGGGCAAAATCTAGCTCCACAGACCAGAGGAAAAAACCATCTGCAATACAAGTAAAAAAGATTCATGCCATATCATTGTCAGAAATACATGCAAGCAATGCTGGTGGCTACCACAATTTTGTTTCACCTTCACAACCCATTCAGTCTTTTCTGTTCTCAGAACCACAGAACCATGGAATGCTTGAGGTTGGAAGGGAACTCGGGATCATCTGGTCCAAGCCCCTCCTCAAGCAGGGCCACATAGAGCCGGCTGCCCAGGACCACCTCCAGACAGCTTTTAAGTATCTCCAAGGAGGGAGACTCCACAACCTCCACAACCTGTGCCAGTGCTTGGTCACCTTCACAGTAAAAAAGTTTTTCCTCGTGTTCAGATGGACTCTGCCATGTTTCAGTTTGTGCACATTGTTTCTGATCACGTCTCTGGGCAACACCAACAACTGGCTCTGTCTGTCTTCACACCCTCCCTTCAGGTGTTTGCATATATACATAGGTGAGATCCCCCTGATCCTTATCCTCTTCAGGCTAAAAAGCCCTAGCTCACTCAGCCTTTCCTCATAGGACATGCTCCTGTCTATCATCTTTGTGGCCCTTTGTTGGACTGTCTCCAGTATGTCCATGTCTCTTTTATACTGGGGAGCCCAAAAATGGATGCATTACTGCAAGTCTGGCCTCTCAATGCTGAGTAGAAGGGAAGGGCCACCTCCCACTGCCTTTCTCTTCAGTTTTCTTTCTTAAACTAGGACCAAGGAAATTGTACTTTCCAATATCTTTACCTCAATTTGGTAAAAGATATTTACCCAACAGGGGTAGTAGAAACCATTGAACTTTCACAGTGGTGTTTGTAATTTAATTCCTAGCTTGGGTCAAGATAGAGGACACTTGAAAATTTCTAATGCTCTTTTATGTAATTCAAATAGTGGAAAAATGGTTTTTGCATTTCTAAGTTATTCCCTTTGCTGTGCCCCTTATTGCTAATCTAGAATTGAAGCTTTGGCTTCTAGCTGTTGGGTTGCTTTGTATGTTTGTATACCAAATTGAAGACTTTTCTTTCTGTAAAGTAATACAGTCTCCTCAAGCTCCCTGTGAAGCAGGTTTTCTGCAATTCATATAATTCTTTTTAGGAGCCTTTCAATTTCTTTTTTACATTTTCTTTGAAATATGGGCATTGGGTAGTACTATTCCAGTCATGATCTATTGTATATGGTAGCATCAGATACACCTGTATTAGCACAAGCAACATAATAATGCTTTTGTCTTTCCAAATTTACCCAGCAGCTCGCTAAAAATGCAGCTGCTGAGGCACAAGGTCATTGATTTTGCTCACCCAAAAAAATGTTGCTGGTGGCTAACTCTGATCCCCCTTGTCATGTCCTAGCTCTTCTCTCTGCATGGATAGTGTGGAAGTGCATGGATAACCAATGTCCAATGTCCTCAATCTTACTCACTGCAGTCGGCCTCTTTAGAAACCTCAGCAGTGTGACCAGCTGTGTATCAGGGTGCTGTGAGCAGTTGGGGCTCCCACCCGCTGAGCAGGCAAGGCATGGCCTCCCATCCAGGACCATCACACCCTCCCCAGCCAGGCACCAGGGCAGGCTGGTGAGCATTTGGGACAGGGATATGGCCAGGTTGAGATGTCAGCACGCAGACTGGGGCCAGGATCAGGCCTAGTGAGGGGAGCCAGGGTCAGACAGCCCTGAGGTGGCCAAACTTTGGTAGGAGACACATGGTAGAGGCTTGGCTCAAAACAAGTTTGAGCCTGCTATCTATCCCCACGGGAAGCGGGGTTCAGCCCTTGCTGAGGCTCACAGCAGCACTGCCTGGCAGCCTCTTCCCACAGCCACCAAAAGGACCCTGAACCCTGCAGCCAGACCTGCAGGCGCAAGGATGCTCTTGGGGCCCTGTTGTTATACCAGCTTTTACCACATTAGTGGGAGCTGAGGTTCAGACACTGACTTTTGCTCTGTTTAATCTATTAACTTATTTGGCTGTCTCATTCTTGAGCCTTTCATCACCTGCATAGATGAGGACTGAATAACTAAGCCTTTTCCCTCTGTTAGGTCAGGATATACCCTGCTTCAGTGGGAAGGATGCTGGAAAAACCTATGCCTAAGGGTGTAGGACATGTGTGAGAGGAATTAAGCCTAACTGCTTGTGAGTGCTGTCTTTGCAGGACAGACATACAGTTTCCTGAATCTGGTTGTTATATTGGCCAGCAATGAAACAAACCATCATGTCCTTGGAGCTGTGAATTTTCAGCAAGAAAACATACAGGGAGACTATAGTCTCCATATACACTCATTCCAAGTTCCTAATTGTTTGTGGGTGCTATTTTTTGTTATCCTCACCCACCTGCCAGGCAGTTAACCAGGAGCTAATAACTCTCATGTCACTGTCTAGGTCACTGGGAATGCTTCAGTGCCATCAGCCCTGGCTGGAAAAGAACATTAGGCAATCCAGGAAACATTTGGTTACTAAAAGCCTTTAGTAAGGACTTGTTCCTTCCCCAGTCACCTAGTTGATATTCAGGATACTAGATGTTCCTGCCTGTCTTGTCTTTTCCAGGCTGATGAAATGCAATACTCTCTTCCTGTTAAAAGAGCCAACAAGTGGCAAGTAATCACAGAGGGTGTGGAGTAGGTCTGTGGAAAGCCAACAGGCAAATGGAAGCATCTCATAAAATGGCTCAAGCTCAACAAGAAAACTACACTAGACTGCCCATCCTACTTGGGGTTTGGTACACAGGATTTGTGAAGTTCACATTGAGCATGGGGTGTACTGCTGTTTTGAGTGGGAACAGGAGAAGTAGGACTAAGTAGATGACTGTGATATAGTGATTGTAAGTCTGCTCGCTGGTGCTTATCTCTACTGTATCTATTGTTAATCTCTTGTCTATTGTTATGGTTATCACTTACAATAAAAGGACACTGATTTACAAAACACTTGAACTCTATTAACAAGATATTGTTGTGGGATGATGAAGTCATTTGAGAGCTCCATAGGAGGAAGAGGGGACTTGATGGAGTGTGAAGTAGGTATTGGCAAGTGGCAATGGCTTGCATGCTTTCAGATCTCTAGCTCTAGGGTCATATTTCCTCTGGTTGCCAGTGTATTCCCTACTACTATTTCCAGTGTTGTTTCCAGTGTCTGAATTGCATCCAGCTGCTTGTCTTCTTAGCTCTTCCCAGAAGGAAGGCCATACTAGGTTGGAGCAGAAGTCCAGTTACTTACTGTTCTCCTTGTGGCAGCAGTAGATGCTTCAGGAAAGTCCATAATAATAAGACACTTCTGGAGGGATACTTTCCCAGGTATACCATGCTAACTTGCCACTGTCAACACTGTAGGATTTCCTGCTTCTGTTGGTGTTTTGTTGGCCTCTGGACATAAGCTTACAAAATACATGCTCACCTCTTCCCACACCCCCCCTTAACACCCCCCCCTCCCCGGTTCAAACATTCAGAAGACATTTTGCAGAGGTGTAGAATGATATTGCAGAAATTTGCTCCTTGAGGTCCTGATCCTTTTATTTCCCCACTTTAAAACAGATATTTAAACCCTAATTAGAGTCTTGAAGCAAAAACTCCATTTAAGGCCTTGGGTGCTGAGTATTTTTTCCCCTACTGTGCAAGATCAACATCTTGTAAAAGTTCTCCTGGGAACACTGAAGTAAAGGGATAGGGAAGGGTGAGCAAAAGAAGTATTTAATGAAAGATGTTAAACTATTCCAGACAGGATCCTTAAGGGAATATCTTTCAAGAGGAATCCCTAGGTGGTAGGAGACAAGCTGGGAAAATATGCAGCCAATATCTTTTACAGCCTTCTGAGAAGGGCTGGCGGAATAATACGAGAAGCGTTTTCCTTTCTTTCTACATTCAGTTTCTTCCTGTGTGCTGGGCTGGCAAAGTGTTGAGCATCCATCCATCCAGGAGGCTCGGCAGCAGCTGTGAGCGGTTAAAAACCTGCCCAGGGAGCGCCGGCGACCAGGAGCGCGGCGACCAGAGAGGGCCGAGGCAGTTTGCACAGCAGTTTGCGTGGGCAGGCGAGTGGGGTGACCGCCTGATCAAGAGGACTTGCCTGGAGCGCAGGAGGAGGAAGGACTGCTTGCTTGTGCAAAGAGACGTAGACGGACCGATCGACCAGACAGATCATGGTCACCACTCGATCAAAACCTGTAGTTAGGAATAACGTGGGTACCCAGACTGAGCCTTCCTGCAGACATGCGGCCGTGCGGGTCTCTGGCTGCAGTGAATGCCTGAGCCTGGCACTTGTATCTGACAGAGCCAGTGACACCGCTTGTGTGTGGTGTCAGCAAGGAGATGACCTGCTAAAGCAGGTGGTTGAACTGAGGGAGGACATTGAAAGGTTGAGAGCTATCAGAGAGTGTGAAAGTGAAATTGATTGGTGGAGCCACACCCTAAGGCAAGGGCAGAGGGAAGTGATTGAACAAGTGATGGATCCCCTTCCCTCCTACCATCAGACAGAAGGAGTAAACTTAAGGGACAAGGAAGTATGGAGGGAGGTCCCTCCTCGGAGAGGTAAGCAAAAACCCTCACAATCTCTTCCCTCCTCCCAGTTGCCCTTGAATAACAGGTATGAGGTCTTGGAACTACAGGGCCAGGTAAATGGAGATGGAGGGGTAGAACTATCTAGTGAGTCACCTAGGGCTTGTCACTCACCCCCATGCCTTAGAACTTCCTCAGCCAAGAAGAAAAGAAGAGTAATTGTGGTGGGTGACTCCCTTCTGAGGGGAACAGAAGGGCCCATTTGTCGACCTGATCCATCCCACAGGGAAGTCTGCTGCCTACCTGGGGCTCGGATTGGAGATGTTAAAAGGAAACTCTCTGATCTGGTGCAGCCCTCTGACTACTATCTGCTGCTGGTTTTTCAGGTTGGCAGTGATGAAATTATTACAAGCAGGGCAAGGGCAATGAAGAGAGACTTCAGGGCCCTGGGACAGCTGGTTAGAGGGTCTGGAGCACAAGTGGTGTTTGCCTCCATACCTGTTACAAGCAAGGGTAAAGAGATAAATAGGAAGAGACTGCAGATTAATGTATGGCTACGGGACTGGTGCCAAAGGCATGGGTTTGGGTTTTTCAATTATAGGCTGCTATATGAGACACCTGGTTTACTGGTGGCAGGTGGGATACACCAGCCCCAGAGAGGGAGAAGGTTTCTGGGGCAGGAGTTAGCAGGGCTCATCGACAGGGCTTTAAACTAGGTAGGAAGGGGGAAGGGGAGATAACTGGGCCTGTTGGGGACAAGCCCAAGAGAAACATGCTAGGGCTTGAAGAATGGCAGACTAGGGAGAACTCTCAATCTATTGTTTCATTTGAGGGAAAGGGTAGTTGTTTAAACCCTGTCCTGCAGGGGAAAAAGGGTACCTGGGCAAGAGTTAGTAGAGCTCACTCACAGAGCTCTAGGTTAGATTCGAAGTGCGAGGGGGTTGTAGCTGGGTTTGAACTAGTGGGGCAATGTTCTAGTATGAACGAAGACCAGAAGGCCTCCTGCCTTCCAAGGGTGCCACTAGCGTGCTCTGCTTGCTCCCTGAAATGCCTGTACACCAATGCACGCAGCCTGTACACCAATGCGCGCAGGAGGAGTTAGAAGTCTGTGTGCGGTCTAAAGGTTATGACCTGGTGGCAATTACAGAGACATGGTGGGACAGCTCACATGACTGGAATGTGGCCATGGATGGCTATGTCCTTTTTAGGAAAGATAGGTCAGCAAAGCGAGGTGGTGGAGTTGCTCTTTATGTGAAAGAGCGACTAGAATGTATTGAGTTCTGTCCAGGGGCAGATGAGGAGCAAGTAGAAAGTCTGTGGGTGCGAATTAAGGGACAGGCTGATATGGGTGGCACAGCTGGGGGGGGTCTATTATAGACCTCCTGATCAAGATGAAGGAGTTGACAAGGCTTTCTACAGGCAACTGAAAGCAGCCTCACGACTACATGCCTTGGTCCTTATGGGGGATTTTAACTACCCTGACATTTGCTGGAAGACTTACACAGCCAATCATTCACAGTCCAGGAGGTTCCTCCAGTGCATTGATGATAACTTCTTAATGCAAATGGTGGACGAACCAACTAGGAGAGGAGCGCTGCTGGATCTGGTACTCACCAACAAGGAGGGTCTGGTTGAAGTAGTGACGGTCAATGGCAGCCTGGGCTGCAGTGACCATGAGATGGTGGAGCTTAGGATCTTGTGTGGGAGGAATAGAATACCTAGCAAGGCCACATTTCTGGATTTCCGCAGGGCAAACTTTGGCCTCTTCAATCAATTGCTAAGGGAAGTATCATGGGAAAGGGTACTAGGTGGTAAAGGGGCTCAAGATAGTTGGTCAGCATTCAAGCTTCTTCAAAGCTCAGGATCAGAGTGTCCCAATGAGTAGGAAGTCAAGTAGGGGAGCCAGGAGACCAGCATGGTTAAACAAGAAACTGCTGGGCAAACTCATATGGAAAAAGAGAATCTATGGATTATGGAAGGAGGGGCTGGCCACTTGGGAGGAATATAGGACAGCTGTTAGAGGATGTAGGGAAGCAATTAGGACAGCTAAGGCCTCCTTGGAACTTAATCTGGCAAGTCGGGTCAAGGACAATAGAAAGGGCTTCTTCAAATACATAGCGAATAAAACTAACACAAGAAGCAGTATAGGCCCACAGCTGAATGAGGTGGGTGCCCTGGAGACAGAGGATATAAAGAAGGCAGAGGTGTTGAATGCCTTCTTTGCCTCTGTCTTTACTCCTGCAGACTCTCCCCGGGGGACCCAGATTCCTATAGTCCCAGAAGGAGTCAGGATAAAGGAGGAGTGTGCTTTGGTAGATGAGGATTGGGTTAGAGATCAGTTAAGTAGTCTGGACATCTATAAATCGATGGGTCCGGATGGAATACACCTGCGGATGCTGAGGGAGCTGGTGGAGGTCATTGCTGAACCACTCTCCATCATCTTTGGTAAGTCGTGGGAAACAGGTGAGGTGCCTGAGGATTGGAGGATGGCAAATGTCACACCGGTCTATAAGAAGGGCAAGAAGGAGGACCCGGGCAATTATAGACCGGTCAGCCTTACCTCCATCCCTGGAAAGGCGATGGAACAACTTATTCTTGACACCATCTCTAGACATATCAAGGATGAGGGGGTCATTAAGAGCAGCCAACATGGCTTTACCAAGGGGAAGTCATGTTTGACCAACCTTATAGCCTTCTATGAGCAAGTAACTAGGTGGATGGATGATGGTAGAGCGGTAGATGTGGTTTTCCTTGATTTCAGTAAGGCATTTGATACTGTCTCCCACAGCATCCTCATAGATAGGCTAAGGAAGTGTGGGCTCTATGATCAGGTAGTGAGGTGGATCAAGAACTGGTTGGAAGGAAGAAGGCAGAGAGTTGTGGTCAATGGGGCAGAATCTAGCTGGAGGTCTGTGACTAGTGGAGTCCCTCAGGGGTCGGTGATGGGACCAGTGCTGTTTAATATTTTCATCAACGACCTGGATGAGAGAACTGAATGTACCCTCAGCAAGTTTGCTGATAATACTAAACTGGGAGGAGTGGCTGACACACCAGAAGGCTGTGTTGCCATTCAGCGAGACCTGGACAGGCTGGAGAGTTGGGCAGAGAGGAACTTGATGAAATTCAACAAGGGCAAGTGTAGAGTCTTGCATCTGGGGAAGAACAACCCCATGTACCAGTGCAGGTTGGGGGCTGACCTGCTGGACAGTAGTGAAGGGGAAAGGGACCTGGGGGTCCTGGTGGATAGGAGGATGACCATGAGCCAGCAATGTGCCCTTGTGGCCAAGAAGGCCAGTGGCATCCTAGGGTGCATTAGAAAGGGTGTGGTTAGTAGGTCAAGAGAGGTTCTCCTCCCCCTCTACTCTGCCTTGGTGAGGCCGCATCTGGAATATTGTGTCCAGTTGTGGGCCCCTCA